GAGTCCATAATAAAAAAGTTGATAAATGCAAAATGGGCAAATAAATTTAACAAAATATGTATTAATGAAAACCTCGTTCCTAAATATATATATATATATATATATATATATATATATATACATATTTATTAACCAGAGTTAATTAATTAGATAATTATATATCTAATTGGCTGTTTGATTGATTGACTGATTGATGATGATGATGAAGACGATGAAGATTATGACGGTGGTGATGAAGACGATGAAGATTATGACAATGAAGATGACGATGATAATTTAAACAGAAAAGAATTAGCAAGGTAACGTAGAGAGCAGACTTAAGAACACAAATAACATTAATAATAATAACATAATAATAATAATAACAATAATAACAACATTAATAGTAGTAATTATAGCAATAGCATCAACAATAACACCCTATTGCATATAAAACTACATTCACTTTATCAACATATAGCTCAGTAACGCTTAGTCATGTATGTATGTATGTATGTATGTATGTATGTGTGTATTGTATATATGTATGTATTATATATATATATATATGTATATATATATATATAGCATATATAATTGTTTTTCCTTTAATAGTTTTAACATTGTCGGCTTTGGGATCTTAATCAACTCGTTCATCAATATTGTCGATTGATTTATTGAAAAAACGTTTCGGTAGAATTCATTCATTTCTTTATTCTTTTATTCATGCATATACGCTTTTGTTTGGTGAATGAATGAATGAATGATGAATGAATGATGAATGAATGAATGAATGAATTAATTAATTAATTAGTTTAATACTTTCTTATCTAACGCATTTGCTGATTAAACTAACAGCCTTTTTTGAAATTTCATCCAAATTTTTTCATTAATAATTTATTTATTTATTCAATCATTCAATCACTCAATAAAATAATTACTCAATCATTAAAGTTCATCAATCAGCCAATCAGCAATCGACCTCAATCAGTCAACAAACTGGCAAAGTCAAACCAATCAACAAACAGACAATGTTATCAACTGACCAATCATCATTATTAACCAGCTAGCCAACCAATCAATTAACCAACCAACCAATCAACCAACCAACCAACCAGCCAATCAACCAACCAACCAACCAACCAATCAACCAGCCAACCAACCAATCAATTAACCAACCAACCAACCAACCAATCAACCAACCAATCAATTAACCAAGCAACCAATTACAACGCAGTCTCACAGCAAGGGCCTTTTGGAGCCGAGCCCCTGTGTTAGCCTACAGCTGGGCAACAAACTGGTCAAAACGACCCCGAAACTACGGACCATTCATCCCAAATGGGATGAAGTATTCAGTTTCATGGTCACTGAACCGGATAATGAAATCCTATTTGTGCAGGTTATCTTGAACTATTTGTATCTTTTTTTTAGTGGGGAGTTTGCCGGAAAATATATATATTGTTTTTTGGTAGCGTAGTTTTATGGTGGTTTCATCTTTTATGGGGTTGAATGGGCATGGGTTTCTTTCTTGCATGTCATATACTTGTTTGGTGGGTTGTCTCATGACGTCATCGCCCCATCATTCTCAACATCATCATCTTTTACATTGAGATCATCATTCTCTTCGATATCACTATTACCAATACAACCAGGTCTTAGATACAAGTAAGAATGATACGTCGCTGGGAAAGATATCATACAAAGTTGATAAGATACTGACGGACGAGGATATGATGCTGTGTCAGCCGTTCGCTCTCGACGCTACTACATCGGCTTCCACGCTCACAATGAAGATATGTTTGAGGGTTGGTTGTCGTCGTCGTCATCGTCGTGGTTGTTACCATTGTCATCATCATCATCATCATCATTCCTATCATCATCGTTGTCTTCATCACCATCATCACCACAGTACTTAACCACAACACGTCCATCGACGCAAGAAGACCCGACCACAACGGCCACAACAATCGCATCGGACGAAATCGCCGGAAGTCCCGAGACCATTATCCCGGATTATACGGATATGGTAGGAAGAACCCGACCGGGCGCTGCTTCCACTGCTGCTAAATCCGGATTGGCTGGTGGGAGGAGCGATAATGAAGCTAAGGCGAGATACAGAGGGAGTAAAACTATGAGGTTTGTTGATTGTCGGCTGGCTGGTTCATTGATTGGCTAGTGAACTGATTGATTGATTGACTGATTGACTTTCCTTTGATTCAATAACGTTTTTTTAGTTATTTATTGTTATTATTATTAAAAATGAGTGAAAGCAAGATAGGGAAGATGCAGTTGACCCTGAGGTACAATCTGGAGAGGGAGAAACTGATACTCATCATACACAAGTGCATGTAAGTTCATTGATAGGCTGGTTGGTTGGGGTTAATGTCATTTTTATTTATTCTTTTATTTATTCATTTACTAAACCATCCTTTTATTTATTCATTCATCTATTCATTCATCCATTCATTCATTTATTTATCTATTTATTCACTCATTTATTCATCCATTTTTCATTCTTTCAAGGCGTAACTTATAAATTCATTCACTTGTATGCTCATAATTCATTCATTCACTATTTTATAGACACACACGCGCGCACGCATGCACACACACACACACGCACATACAAACACACACGCACACAGAAATCTGGTAGCCTACGATAAGGATAACTTTTCCGATCCGTACGTGCGTATGTACCTGCTTCCGGATCGATCCAACGCATCCAAGAGGAAGACCAATGTCATGAAGAATAACCTCAATCCCGTCTGGGATGAAACGTCCGTGAAGGAAGGAAGGAATGAATGAGAAAACGAGGGATTGAATGAATAAATAAATGAATGAATGAATGAATGAATGAGGTTAGAGGATAGATTGATAAATGTTGGTGAAAAAAGAGATTCAATATTATGTAGTTTTATGCAATGAAGGCTGGATGAGTTTTCAATCATTCGCTCATTCGTTAACTCAATTAATCATTCCATAATTCATCTATTCATCCCACAATACATTCCAATTTTTCTTAATTCCACCAACAGTTTCGAATGGCCTCTGAAGAAATTTGAACTGCCGAATCGCACTTTAGAGATCATGGTGAAGAATTTTATCGGGGTCTTTGAGAAGAAAACACAAACGGAAATGGGCGTGGTCAATTTGAGGCTGTCAGATTTCGACGATCTCGCTCAGCCCGTGTCTGATTGGTCGGTTATTTTTAGATTTTGATGATTGCTTGATTGCGATTGGTTGTCGGATAAGATTAAGATGGTTGATTAAATCGGTTTTTCAATGAGTGAAATTGACTGGTTAGATCTGTTAATTAATTAATTAATTCATTCATTCATTAATTAATTAATTCATTCATTCATTCATTCATTCATTCATTCATCATTCATTCACACACTATTTCATTTATTTAAATATATGTCAATCAATCCATTCATTTGTTTTCACAATCACTCAATTATTTTTAAAGGTTCGACTTGCAGGATCCAACTTCACTTACGGCTTCCATCTCAACCGTCCTATAAGGAGAGAGAAAGAGAGAGAAAGGGAAAGAGAGAGAGAGAGAGAGAGAGAGAGAAAGAGAGGGAGAGAGCGAAAGAAATGAAAGCAAACTTTTCTACTTATTCTAAAAAATTATTAAAAAAGTTATCTATATAAAATGCCTATATGAAATTGTAATTTGGTGATGTTATAAAGTTATTAAAACGACTTCATCTACTCTTTTATTATTATTAATTTTATTATTTATATTATTATTTACATTATTATGATTATTGTTTACTATGAATTTTTTCATGAGCAACAATCTTGTATGCAAAGCTTGAATTTCATGCAATGTTCGCGGTGATACCACGCATACACATACATATATACACACCCACACATACATACATATACACACATACATATACACACACACACATACATACATACATATATACACACATACATACATATACACACACACATACATATACACACATACATACATATACACATACGTACATACATACATAAATACATACGTACATACATACATACATACATATACACACATACATACATACATTTGTATATTTAGACTTTATAGTTAGCCATTTTATCTAACTTGCTTCTTTCTAGGTTATATATATATATTATATATATATATATATATATATATATATATATACCGTAGTAGTAGTAATAGTAGTAGTAATAATAATAATAATCATAGTGTTTATTGACATTTTTTTCATATAGTTTTTTAAAAGTTGTTCGCTTACAAAGGATTTTGTGGCTGATATACCTGCTTTCTAAATCTGATGAATAGCATTTATCTATATAAATATATATCCATATATATCTATCTATCTATCTATCTATCTATATATATATATAGACATATATATAGATAGATATATACATATATATATTTATTTACGGATATATATATATATTGTGTCCTTCGTTTTTCTCCCAGCCTGGTTCATTTCATCGTTGCTTACATTTTAAAATGATACTTTTCCTACATTTAATAGTAATTTAACAAGGTTTAATTGATAATTAGTCAGTTAATTGATGGTATTTAACGGTAATTAATAATAATTATTGATAATGGTAATATCATGGTATGTTATTTTATTTTACTTGTTTAACTCATATGTTTAATGTTTGTTTATGGGATAAATTATTTTTGCGTTAAGTGACTGGGTTTATTTTGTTTGTATTTATACGCACTTTCATTCATTCACTCATCATTCATTCACTCATTCATTCATTCATTCGTTTGTTTATTTATTTCAAAAAGTTAAGAGCTCGCTTATATTTCTACTTTTAAATTTTCTTCCATTAAATTGAAGCACACAACAAAAGAATAGCTAACATTGGTATTAATAAAAATATACTAATAAATAAATAAATAAATGAATGAATAAATAAATAATAATCATGAATACCAAAAATGAATAAATTAAGGATAAAACAAATTAAATATAATTTATGAAAAATTATGAAAAGACATATTGGCATCCAAATACTTTCATAGTAAAAAGAAATTCATTGCAATAAGTTGACGAATCAATAAGCCGTTATTTGAAGGAATAACTGAATGAATGAATAAATGAATGATTGAATGAATGATTGAATATATGAATGAACGAACGAATGAATGAAAAATTGGAAATAAATCAATCAAACTTGATTGATCATTTTAAAATTTTCGCTAATATAAGTTTTTTTTCTGATACAACATTGAAATCATTGAATAAAATATTACTAGCAATTATAAATGATTAGAGAAGCAATACATTAAATATAAAAAGAAATATATATATGTGTGTGTGTGTGTGTGTGTGTGTAGTGAATAAAAGCCAAACAAAGCATTTATTGGAATATCAAAGTAACTGAAAATATTAAAAACTGAATGAATATCAAGTCACCGAAATATACATATAATACATATATACTAAATATAAAGAGAGAGAAAGAGAGAAAAGAGAGAGAGATTATAATACTAATTAACAACTAGAACCAATAATGAAATAGACTTCAAAACAACGTAGAAGAATGACATCTACAAACAACAAAACAACAAAAAAATAATAATCAACTAAACGTCTATATATAACAATTATGTTCATCGCCATCATCGTCCTCATTTTTAATTTTTAAAAACCATTCAATCAATCAATCGATCAATCAACCGTTCGATCAATCAATCGATATAACAGCTAAAAAGTCAAAGAAAACCAATATCGTTCATAACCAATTAATCACCAGAGAACAAACCCAAATCGACAAACCCAAAGCTCACACATGATATAGCGCTAAACTGACGATAAAAACGACAAAGGAGATGCAAAAGTAAGCGTTCAGATGCATGTGGAATACGATCACGGACAATATCGCAGTGACGACCGCAGCTGATGATATGATGAAGAGCCTGGTGATGTTGCTACTGTGCTTCATCACCATTGAGATGATTAAGCCTATGAAAGTCTGATGATGACGACGACGATGATAATGATTGCAGTGATGGTGGTTGTGGTGGAGGATGTTACGATATAAAAATAACCACCATGTAATGATTACTGATTCATATATTTACGCTCATTCATTCATTCATTCATTCATTCATTCATTCATTCATTCATTCATTCATTCATATTCATTCCATTCACTCCATCAGTAATTTATCTAATCAGTCATTCCTCCATTTAACCATTCATTCATTCATTTACCTGTGTAATGATGATCAACCAAACGTAGATATTGAAACCTCTGACCAAGTTGAAATCGTCACCTAGGAGTAAAATCATCATCATCAACACCGTCATCGTCCTCATCATTAACAAAAACAACAAGATCATTATCATCATTACTCTCATTATCATCATCGTTATCATCACCGTGACTAAGAGAATAGTAGACGAATGTAAAGAAATTCAAGATAACGCCAAAGGAGTACAGCACTGTGTTTTGAAGATGGATGGAGACCTGCATGTATGTATGTATGTGTGTATGTATGTATGTATGTATGTATGTATGCATGTATGTATGTATGTATGTGTGTATGTATATATGTGTATGTATGTAACCTCAAATTTATCCTTGAGTATGTACTCGCAGTAAACTCCGGAAAAGCCGGAAACCGAACAGTAGATTAGTATTCCAAAGACCCCAGTCGTAGTGATGTGCAAGACGGATGATGAGGAAGAGGAGGTTGAGTCAGGAGTGTGGTCTGCTACAAAGTTGCCCATGCTATGGAATTGGAAATGTATGTTGGTGTTGTATGGTACCTAAGATTTCCGATCGGTAGATGGATCAATGCAGAATGAATGGATAGACGAATGAATGAATGAATAAATGAATAAATGAATGAATGAATGAATGAATGAATGAATGAATGAATGGTTGAATGGATGAATGAATGAATAAATGAATGAATGAATGAATGAATGAATGAAGAATTGAACAACCTATTTCCACATCCAGCTATGAAAAGTAAAATTATAGCAAGCCACTGTACATTCGACATCGTCCTAATAAGTAATAATAATAATAATAATAATAATAACAATCATAATCATAATCATCATCATAATTATCATCATCATCATCAAAATCATCTTTGACCTCTTGATAATGATCCTATAGAGTACGGCCGTTGTAACAATTTTCAGATTGCTCAGTACCTTGAAATGATCATCATCATCACCACCATCATCATTTACGTCATCATTATCCTCATGTACGTCATCACCACCATCATCATCATCATCATCATTACCACCACCATCATCATCATCATCATCATCTGAAAGAAAAACAAGAACCTGATAAGTAGCAGGATCCATGTAGTTTTGTAAATGTACGGCCAAATTATTATTACTGCAGTAGAGTAGGGCTGGGACAGCAAAGGGCAGGACGAAATGAATATTCATGAGGTAGCTAAAAATAGAACGAGGGGTGTGGCTTTTCAAATAACTCGCATCTGATTGGCTGTGGTTTTTCATTGTAATTGGTAATGTCTGGTGGGAGGAGGTGGGACCATAGATTTGTATGGCCAATAAGATTGTTGAAGCTATGAGCTGTGGTGAATTGTTATATTTTTCGTTGTCTTATTTATTATGACTAGCATTGGTTGTAGTATTAGTAATAGTAGTTATTGTCGTTGTCAGCATCATCATGATCACCACAATCGTCATCATTATCGAAACCACCACCATCATCATAATCACAATCACCTTAAAAAGTTCGATTAAGAGATTGACAGAACTTGAGTTGTACCTAATCACATTCTTCTCCTTCGATAGGTGCACCAGAATTGCATAACTGCCATACATCAATGTACTGTCGATCGATTGAGTGATTGATTGAATTGTGATTAATTAGTTAATTGAGTACTTAATTGGCTGATTGAATGGTTGGCTGGCTGGTTGAGTGATAATTAAGTAGTTGACCTTTTTGACTTAAGAACCAAAAAATAATGCAAAACTATAACCAATGAATAAATTTTCTGAAAAGTAAGCATAGGGATGAAAAATTAGGAATTAGTGAACCTACACACCCACACCTTACTAACCAGCTTATGATCATAGCTCCCCACAACATAGCATGGCTAACACTTGGAATGTGTTTCAGAGCAGTAGAATTAGTATTATCATTATCGATGGAGACTCCTTTATTAGTAAATCTAACATTACTGCTGTGATTATTATTATCATTAGTGTTCATGTTTAAGATTACAGAAGGTAATTTAGAATCTTTGCTATCAGTGATTTTGTCGTCTGCATTTAGTAGTGCAACTTGCTTTTGTACTTTCATAGTATTCAGGATCTTTTGAAAGTTTCAAAATAAAGAGTAATTTAAATTATTTTTTTTATGTGTTTTCGTATTGCAATGTGTGTAATGTGCTAATGTATTAATAGCATGTAATGTGCTATGTCTATTTTATACAGTTAGTTAGTTAGTTAGTTAGTTAATTAGTTAGTTAGTTAGTTAGCTACTTAATTAGTAAAAACAACATACTGACTGATTGATTATCAACTACTCTCTACTTTTAGTCTCTAAACTAAGCAAGCTATGAAACTAAAAAATTACTAAAAAATGGTTAAAAAAACTAAAAAACTTAATAAAAAATGGTTGTTAAAACTTAAAAAACATCCTAAAAAAAGTTAAAAAATATCCTAACTAAAAAATTACGTACAAAAATTAAATAGAGTATAAAAACCTTTCACTGATCTGAAAAAATGTAATTTAACAATAAAATTAATCAAACTAATAATCGCGTAATAAATCAAACTAACTTTTACTTCCTTCTTTAAACATGAAATTTAGTTTAAAAATTGAGAATATTAAACAAAAAAAGTCTGTGAAGTTAGCCACACAAAAACTTGTAGTACAAACTTAAATTCACTTTTAAATTATAATAAATATTTGGTTTTCCATATATTGTCAAAATGCTTGGCCAGCTTAGATAGCGTTCTATTTACAGTCCCTTTAAATTTTAAATGGGTCGGGATTTAAATTTTACGAAAAAAGTTTAGCTAAAAATTTAAATAAAATAAATTGAAATAAATAAATTTGAAATAATTAATGTAAAAATAATATAGTTAAAATATATCATGGTTTAGTTTAAATTTTTGAAAAAAAAAAATTTAGTATTTTTCTTATAAACAAAATAATTCATCCAAATATTCTTTCTTATTGTAATAATTGATAATCTCATTCATAAATACTAATTATTTAAAGTAATTATAATTATTTTGTAATTATATTATATTAAATTAATTATAAAAATTTATTTATGTCAGGATCTAGACTTTTTGTCCACCAACTAACTAAATCCTAAATGTTAATGATATCATTTGATATTTGTAATACAAACTTTTTGTATGATAGTATTATATAAATAGCTACTATTACTGCTTAATACATTAATTAATGGGATGTTTATCTAACTTCAACACACACATTTCTATGATATATTATAGTTATAATATATTATTATGATATATTATATTTATATACTATAACTATAGTAAATCTATACAATCTTAATATAAATCCTATGCTCATTATTACCATAATTAATAAAATATTAACGTTTCATTAACTTTCAATAATATGGTACTAGATATAATACTATAGATTCAATAGATACTAATCCTAGATACTTCAATTTAATGTCTACGCATACATACATGACATGCGTAAACGTACATACGTACATTGTTATTAACCATAACAGATTGATTGGTGATAAAAAGTTAGTGAAAGATAGGAATATAGAACCAAAGAAACATAATAACATGAAAATATGAAAATTCGACGAAAGAAGTTTTGCCTGATGTCAGGTTTCGTCGTAATCTTCGTTCTCTGTCCATTTCTTCTAGTCAAGTTTATGTCTGGAGGTAACGATGATGATAATGATGATGATGATTATAATGATGATAAATTAGTGATGGTGATGATGGTGGTGATGATGACAAGCATGCACTCATACAAACATGCATACATGCAAACATACATGTGCAACTACATACATACAAACCTACATAAACACACTCACACACATACATACATACATACACACATACATACACGCACACATACACAAAGTGAGCATACAAAACAAACATATATGCACTGCAGTAAGGAAGACTTGAGCTTAGGGGAATAGTATTATTGTTTCTTGATATATATATATATATATATATATATATATATATTTATATTTATATATATATATATGTTGGTAATAGACCATAATTTTTACAATATTCTATAAATTCTACATTCGGTAGAATTTATAGAATATTGTAAATATATATATATATATATATATACATACATGTATGTTTGTTTGTTTTCATATGTTTGTTTGTAAGTATATATGTATTCTCTTTCGTATGTATGCGTGTATGTATGAACCCATAATTGATTAGAACAATAGGGAAGTAATAATCATATCTTTAATCTATGTTATTTATTTATCTATTTAATCACAGACAGGAATGTATGTATGCGTGTATGTATGTATGTGTATTTGTATACATATATATATATATATATATATATATATATATATGTATATAATGTATGTATATATATATATATATAGTATGTATATATATATATATTTTTATTGTCGTCAATGTCTTTGTTGTTTTTATTATCATTCTGATTGGAGTATCTTGGCATTAATTAAGCTAGGAGAGGTCCTTTTTTGTTCGTTTGCTTCTTCTTCTCATCAAATGAATGAATGAATGGATGAATGAATGAATGAACAGTAAATGAATGAATGAAGTTATGAACGGCTGAACAGATGAGTGGATGAATGTACGAATGAATGAATATACGAACGAACGAACGAACAAACGTCGAATGAATGAATGAGAGAATGAACGAATGAAGAGGCCAGTCTGGTTTGTATGTAGTTTAATTGGTTCTTTTGTTGTCGTTGTTTTTGTTGCGTGTGTATTTCTGTGTGTAAGCGTGTGTGTATTCTTGTTTGTTTGTAAGGTAGGTATATATGTGTGTATATATGTTTGTATGTGTGTGTATGTGCGTGTGTATGTAAGTTCCGTTAAAGTTGCTGCAGTTGTTGGTTGTTTATCTTTCTCAAGAAACTTGTTTTCTGTCCTTTTTCAGTTGATTTATATCTGTGCATGCGTGTTCGTTCGTTCGTTTGTTTGTTTGTTTGTGTGTGTGAGTGTGTGTGTATGTTTAGTTTTGATCGTTTGCATGTGTGTGCGTGAAAGTTTGTGTGTCTGTCTGTTTTTGTGCTGTTGGTTTTATGTTTGCATTTTTTCTCTGCTTTATTTGTTTGTTTTGTGTATTATACTAGTGAAAGGAATGAATGAGTGAATGAATGAATGAATGAGTGAATGAATGAATAAATAAATGAAAGAAAGAAAGAAAGAAAGAAAAAAGAACGAAGGAACGGATGAATGAACACATTTGTCAACATGGAAAAAATCTCCCACAAATGAAAATTGTCCTTTACACAATATTGTCTGTCGTTTTGTTTGCATGAGTTCGTTTGTGTGTTTGTATTGTATGTATGTATGTTTGTATGTGTGTGTGTATGTATGTATGTATGTATGTATGTATGTGTGTGTGTGTGCGTGCTTACATTTAAGTGTATATGTTTGTCTGCACGTGAATATGTGTGCACGTTCATGTGTATGTCTTTGTGGATTCATTTTTGTCTGTTCTGTTTTTCAACTTGAAGAGAGCGTAAGATGAGAAAAAAGAGAGAGAGAGAGAGAGAGAGAGAGAGAGAGAAAGAAAGAAAGAAAGAAAGAGATTCCATTAAATCATTTCTTCACGTCTTAGTCCAAGTCTTTTTATTTCGTCCCCCTTTTTTTGCCCTTGCGTTCGTTTTACTTCTCTGACTTTTTGAATTGTAATAATAGTAATAGTAATAATAATAATAGTAATAATAATAATAAATATAATTATAATTATTATTGTTATAAATTTTTTTTTCAAATTTTTAGGGGAGAAGCTCGTATTCCACAAGAGCCATGAGTTATTAAACCTAGTCATCAACAACAACAACAACAACAACAACAACAACAACAACAACAACAACAACAATAATAATAATGAAAATTTAGATAATGATATCAATTATAATAATAATAATGATAATAATAATAATAATAATAATTACGTCGATGGTGTTGATGATGGTGTCGATGGCGCTTTCGGCAGCAATTATAATGTCAATAATAATAATAATAATAATAATAATAATAATAATAATAATAATAATAATAATAACGATAATAACAATGTTGAAGAGCTCCTGAGAAAGATTCAAAGTTTGGAGAGGGAGAATGAGAGGTTGAAACTTTTATTAAGGTTCGATTATTGTTGCGGATGTTGATGATGATGATGAAAGTGACGATGATGATGATGGTGATGATGATGATGATGGTAATGATGGCGAAATATTTACAATGCATTTCAACAACACATACGATCGTCTGTCTTATCGCGAGCGTTAAATTAAACAGAAGTGAATGGTTTTTGATATTTGAATGATTCATTGGGTCTTCTCATTCACTTTCTATTCAATTGTTCGTTCTTTCATTCATTCATCTATTTATTTTTATATTCATTCTCTCGTTCGTTCATTCATTCATTCACTTATTCATTCATTCATTCGTCCATTCATTTGTTCATTTATTTCGCTATTTCCTTTTCTCGCCCGCTTAAACAATTATGATGATGATGATGATGATGATGATGATGATGACGATGATGATGGTGACGACGACGACGATGACGATGACGGCGATGGTGATGATGATTATCTTGTTGGGGATGATGATGACGATGACGAAGATGAAGAAATGACTGACTTCATTTGCGTCTAACATTTCCAGGTCAAAAAGTTTAATGAACGACAACAGCTTGCCAGCATCGTCATTATCATCATCATCACTCTCATCATTATCATCATCATCATCACCACCACTCTCATCATTATCATCATCAGCGGCAGCATTATCATCATCATCTTTGTCGTCGTCGTCGTCATCATCATCAAAGTGCCTGAGCGATACGGAAACGTTATCAAGATGTGAAGTGAGTGAGATGTGGATGGCGGTGTCTGGCTATGTTTGCAATTTCACCGGACAGTCTTTATTTCAATTTTTCACAAAATTTTTACAATAAATTTTCAAAATTATCCTCTAACTTCTAATTTTTGAAACTTTTAAAAATCACCAATAATATTTTTATTAACTCTCTCTCTCACTAAAAATCACCAACTCTCTCTCACCATCATCTGTTTGTAATTTCACCAAACAATCTTTATTTCAAGTTTTTCACTTCTTTGCAATTTTCAATCATCTAATTTCCCGCCATTTCCACCATCTAATTTTCCGCCATTTTCACCACCTACTTTCCCGCCATTTCCATCATCTACTTTCCCGCCATTTAATTTTTCCACAATTTATTAATTAGCCAACAGGCGTACAGACACGTATAACAATATCTTCTTACGCCTCTTATTTTCCTAATCTTTAATACCACACACAAAGACACACACACACATACACAGACAGCCACACAAAGACACACACGCACAAAGAAACACTCTCACACGCACACGCACACATACAGACAAACAGACACACACAGGCAGACACGCACACACTCAGACCCATACGTACACACCAGACGATCCACCTATCGCTAGTGGTGGCCGGGTTCGAATCCTGTCGCGACTTCACGACGCTACTGAAGAGCTTGCTGTTCAACCGGAAGCAGGCGGCCATCTTGCATTTCCACCTCTTCACCAATCAGATCTCGTCACTAATTTTAGGGAGACTCTTCCGGAGTTGGAGTCTATCCGGGGGTTGGTTATGATGATGATTACGATTGAGATGATGATGATGATGACGACGAGAAAGATGGTGATAGTAGTGATTATTTATAATAAGATTAATAAGTAATTAAAGTAATAATTTAATATCTTTTTTTTTATAACTCGCAGTCATCGTCTCTTACTATGATGTAGACAAAATTGAAGTTAGTATAGATCATCAGAATCGGTGTTCTTTTAGTTTTATTTTTGGTCGTCATCACCATCATCACCATCGTCATCATCATCATCATCATCGTCGTCATCATCATCATCATTTTCAGCCCCTGGTAAATTGGATTCCGAACAAGCATTACAGTGGTGTGTTTGGCTTGATTAAGTTATTAATTCCAGAATATCTTCCACTATTTATGGACAAGGTTATGATGATGATAATGATGATGATGATAGTAGTTGTGATGATGATGATGATAGTAGTTGTGATGATGATGATGATGATGTTTGTGATGACGATGATAGTGGTTGTGATGATGATGATGATGATGATAAAAGCCATGATGATGATGATGATGTTTGATGATGATGATGATGACGATTTGTTTATAAATAACTAATCAGTTCGTTTGTTCATTCACTCATTCGTTCATTCATCCATCCATCCATCAATCCATCCATCCATCCATCCATTCATTCATTCATTTGTTCGTTCGTTCGTTCGTTCATTCATTCATTCATTCATTCATTCATTCATTCACTCATTCACTCACTCATTCATTCATTCATTCATCCAATCAACCACCTTGAATTCGTGTATAGTTCCATTGCAGATATCACTTAGAGCATTGTCGCTTAGCTGTACATTCCACTTGCATTCTAAGGGATGCACAAGATGCGGTTGCTCTTTTATTAAAGAGTTAATGATGTCCTGTTTGGTTGATTGGTTGGTTGGTTGGTTGGTCAGTTGATTGATTGATTGATTGATTGATTGGTTGGTTGGTTGGTTGGTTGGTTGGTTGACTGATTGGTTGGTTGGTTGGTTGGTCGGTCGATTGATTGGTTGGTTGGTTGGCT